TAAAAATGTGATATATTTTATATATATCACATTTCCTGTGGAAGCTAATCTCTTATTGGCAGTCTTAATTGTAAAATTGCACTTTTTTTACTGTTGGTTTTCTATTATGTTACTTAGTTAATTAATTAATTAATTGAATCTGAGCATGGTTGTCCAATTAAATTTTAATTAATGCAGTAGTTGGAACAAGTCAAACAAAGCATTGCTTACCAGCAGCCCTTTGGGACATTCTCTGAGCAGATCAAAATGATTTATAATTAGGTGTCAATTATTTATATGTAAATGATATTGCTAAAGGGCCTGAGGGCATCTTGAGAAGTTTATTCTTAAGAGGTTTAAACTTCTTTCCTACCTGTAACTTTATTTATATTTATTATTAATTTTCTTAGCATGATATAGTCACAGAGAGTAAAACAAGACAATAAACCAGCTTTTCCTCTACTTTTTTTAAAAAAAATTCTAAACTTATGGCAAGGGAATTAGTAGAATTTTCTTATATTTTATTTAGTTTAGCCTTTCAAATAGGAGTTCATCGGTGGATAGCTTGGCGGCTATTTACAAGAACCAGTTTGACTAAATTCAGCTTAAATCTGGTTCTTTTTTTTTTTTTTTAAGAGAAAACATGTCATAAGCTAGATTACCTGATTTATTCCTTCCCTTCCCTCTCTCCTTTCCCCTCTTCCTTCCATCCTTCCATTCCTTCCTCTCTTTCTCTCCACTCCCCTCTCTGCCTCCATCCTTTCCTTCCTTCCTGCTACCTTGCAGGAGGGTCCTGGGCCTTTATGTTTGTTTGTGTGGACAAACTAATCAAGTGTTTGTTAAATGTCATTTTCATCAAAGATATTTTACATTTACATAAAACTTGCATGAACACTTTCTCCTTTAATCTCCACAATTCTAAGATTTTTAGAGAGAACTATTTTTTCCATTTTACAGGTGGGAAACTAAGCCTCAGAAAAGCAAAATATCACATATTTGGCCCTAGGTCAAGGTCAATAGTTACTAAATAACGGAATTGCTATTATCACAACATACTTGCCAATATTAGCCAATTTTATGTGCCATAAAATTACAGAGTAAAATATCTATTAAACGTTTCATGATTATGCCACATGGACATATGGCAGAATCTGGTCTGCCTGCAAATATTCTCTTTCCCACTCCATTCATTGCTCTTTTTTTCTATCTTCAGAGGCTAAGAGAACACCAGCATCTCTCCATGTTAGATAAACTTAGATCCCCACCAATTCCGCCCTCCAAACACAGAATCCTCTGAAACCCAATATGAAAAACTCAGAATATTTTCAACGGTCTTCTCACTCTCTAATTTTGCCTGCAAATGTTCATTTTTGGCCCTAGGTCAAAACTACTTTTTATGTCTCCTGTAAGACCTGGGTCCTTAATCAGGTGCTTTTTCCATGAAACTAGACAAAAGGGTCACACAATCTAGATGTAACTTTGACTTGTGATTTTGGTTAATGTACCTGTGTTGAACCGGTGTCACTTTGCCCATTATAATTTTACATTTGTACTTGTGTAAATGCCCAGAACTAAGCATTTTTACTTTTTAAAATATCTAAAGCCACTTTCTTTAATGAGCACATGATCTCTACACCTCTTCCTCTAACCTTTCTGAAAATGTCAAAATTTCCTAACTTGATAAATTTATGAATTTAAAAAATAGTCAGTAGGACAACATGGCCCCCATTAACCTGGGACAAAAGTCGCTCATCCACTAAAAACAAAAAACAAAAAAACTGACAAAAACATTCAATGGAAATATATTTGAAGAGTCAAATACAGTCACTATTGAAGAGCTGATACAGAAAATGGGGCATATTATTAAAAAATACTTATTAAAATACATATGCATGTATGTATAAGTAAAAAGTATATTTAAACATGTGCATGCAAGCTAAAATACATAATATATTAATTTTATATATATGTGTATATGTATATATATTATATATGTACATATTATACACACACACATTCAGATAACATACACAAATATGCCAGATATACTCGAAGATTCTATCATTTCTCTTTAGATAAGCAATAAAAAATAAATGTGTTGGCTGATTTACTTGGTAGTAGATTAGCAGAAGACGAAATATTTTGAGTTAGGCTTCTACCTAGTGCTTTATTGTTATACTTATATTTTGTTCTCATTTCTACAATTGGCTAAAATCCTAGTAGAAGAAATAGGCACAGGATGCCTATTTCAGATGTCAGATGTCGTAACCCCTGGAATTGCATTGACAGTGGATGTAAGCAGCTGCATATAATACAGTTAATCAATTACAATTACTTTGTTATTAGATAACCTTGGGATATCATGGCAGGGCAATGTGTTCCTACTCAGAGGTCTTCCCTCACCCCCATTCCACCCTCCATAGTCCTACACACTCAATTGACAGAAGCTAAAGCACGATAAAATTTAATCTTCATTTCTAATGCATCTCCAGCTTGTGGAGATGGGGTTATTATTTATAAAGTTATAGTTTCTTATTTATAATAATAAAACAAATATAACTATTATAAATAAATTTCACTGGCTTTTGCACCCACTTGTAGATTCAAGTCCCCTGGCTCTTGCAATATTCACCACCAAGTATTTCTAGGAAACCCAAAGGGCTGTCTTATGTGTTCTCATGAACAATTATGCCCCCTTGGGACTCTGTTATTGCTCCATTAGGTTCCAAAGATCCCTTTGGGCACCATAATCTTCTAGTAAGCTCTGCCACTGCTCCCCCAGGCATCATTGCCAACGCACTCAAGTCCCAGCGTAGTGCATTGGGGGTGGAATGAGCAGGGAGTGGAATGCCCCTCTTCCCTTTGTGTTATGTGTTAGAGGGGTCCCCAGGCAGCACTGCCTGTACACCAGCCTTTTCAGAGCTTTTACTTGAAACTGCTCTTTCAGTTTTTAGTTATAACTTTCTCTTTTTCTGAACATGCATCCAGGCTGGAGATGGATTTGAGTAACAGCCACTATGTTGTACTCCAAATTCTCATTCTCTTTCAATGACAAAGGCTTTGTTAGAAGTGTGTCATACCTGCTTCCTTCTTCCATTTAGATGAACACTTTTCCAGGAGGCTTCTCAGACCCTGTGAAAATAGATTTGAGTCAAGGCCATACCAAAGTGTTCTAGACACATCTGAAGGTCAGCACTAGACACAGATTGGACTACAGATGGAATCCTTGCTATAGAAATAAGAACACATTTATAGACTAGTAGAACTGAAAGATCAGTTGATACTCTGATGTTTAGCTCAAAAAATGAAAAAAAATTAATGGCAATGTCAGGGGAGAGCAACTCACTGCTTAATAGTCGTATTCATTTGGGGAAAGGAGTCTGAATGAAAACTATGTAAATGGGAGTCAGCTTGGAGTTCCAAAATGGACCCCTAAAATGAGGAAAATAATTCTGGAGAT